AAAAAAAAAAAAAAAAAAAAAAAAAAGGGGGAGAAAAAGTAAAAAAGAGGCTAAAGAACAAGAGAAGACAACCACATATCATAGTTGATGCTAATATAAGATTAAATTTGTGTACACATACATATATAAATACATACCTTGGGCCACCAAGAACCCCGACATTCATGGTGAGCTGATCGATGAGGGTAGCCGACTTGGGCTCGAAGCTTGAGGAGTCGGTAGACTCCCGACTGGCCCCTTGGCCCGATGGCACGAAAAACGCACCATTTACCATTATATCCCCCTCTGTCCTCCAGTTCCAGTCTGACCACTCCCCTTCGCTCGTGTCCTCACGTCTCGTCACCTGTTTATTTATTACCCACATTCTTGCAACATTACCATCCACAAAAAAAGAAACAAAAATAATAATGACAACATTTGCAAAGGGCAAATGTACCAAGTACCTCCTTAGCACTAGGATCAGCAGGCGCCGTATAACGGTTGCCCACGCTATAAACAGTCGGGCTCGCACTTCCTCCAATCGCATACATTTTCCACTCGTAGAAATCATTGTTCACCACATGCACATACCCCCTCCTCACTCTCGGCATCCTCTGCACCAAGCCCTCCCCAAAACGATTAAAAGCCAATGTCACCTAATTTTAAAACAGGCACAAAAATCACTAAACCATAAAAAAGTTGCAATCTTTATCAACATTCGAGTTTGTGCAAGCCAAACAAACCTGCATTCCCGAATCGGGCAAGTACTTATCATCGTGCCCCAGAAGCATAACCTCGTTATGATGAGAGAAAAAGGTATTCGACACGGTAATACCAGTAGATCCCATGATCATATCTACCAAACCATCTGTGCAGCTAGACAAAGAACAGTGATCAATCCATATATCCTTTGACCCGAATATCGATATACCGTCACCATCGGATTTTCCCCTGTAGCCGACATGAGTTGGGCTCGACCGTATGTTGGTATTGCCCGACGGCCGGCAATCGTACACTCGGACATTATGGATTATGACATTGCTCACGTACTGCAAAGTGATGCAGCCATTGCCCGTGATCTGGACATAAGCCCCACGCCCGTCAATCGTCTTGTAGCTATTCATAATGAGCTCGTGTTTTAGCTTGATGGTCATGTCGGATTTGAACACGATCCACAGGGGCTCGTCTTGGATGACAGCATGGCGGAGGGTACCGGGAGTGGGGTCCACCGTGTCATGGTCGGAGGAGTCTGTGATGACATAGATGCGGCCACTCTTGCCGCCACCGGCCGACCGGCCAAAGCCAACGGCACAGTCAGCGAGGCGGGTTCGGTCAGCGGCCCAGTTGGTGTCACACCGCCAGCAGTCGTCGATGGGGTTTCCGGTCAGGCATTGGGATTGGGACTGAGAGTTGGGTGATGATGATGATGATGATGACAAGGCCCTTCGACTTCTCCAGATTGATTCATTCACTCTCCTGATGACAGAATGAAGTTGCAGAATTAAAAAAAAAAATAAAAAAAACAGATGATTTGAGCATGAAAGAGATGAATTGGAAATAAAGTGCCATCAACTGCTAGGTCTTAATAACTATATGGGGGCATATATAAAGTGAATATGGAGTATTGCAATAAATTACATAGTAAAAAAAAAGGGAAAGACCAGAAATTAAGTGAGACACAAATCTTGAAATGTTTCAAGCGAACAAGCATCAATTAAGCAAAACCCAGATGAAAAAATCCAACTTTTTTTCTGCTTAAACATAGGTTTGTTCAGAATGCTCTAAATTAGCCAAAACCCAGATAAGATTTTTAGCCCTTTGTTTCTACAGAGTAACACAAACAATGTAGACATTTAGTTACCTTTTTACATCTTCAACCACGGCTTCGGGGTTAGGCAGCTGGTGAGGGAGAGTAACATTCAAGATGTTGGTTGCCCCATTAATGGAGGAGAGCAAAGTGTGAAGCAGGCAATACAAGATAATGAAGCTAAGAGGAAGCATATCCCTATTAACATACAAAAATTGCAAGAAACTGTGAGAATATATGATGTTTTGCTGCTATGTGAGCCGAATATTGTTCTTCTTCTTCTTCTTCTTTTACCTCCTTGCTTTGGCTTCTCGGATGCAAAGAAAATCTAGTGAAGATAATGACTATCCAAAATTTGGAAACAAGATTTCCATATAAAATAATTGTCTAAAC